AGTTTTATAGGTAAAATCGGTCCATGGTTTAAAGTTAAAAGTTTCTAGCTGATGAATTTAAAAGATTCATTTTTTAATGATATATTTTGTCAAATAACTTTAGCCGGTGGATTATTAAATCAGTTTCCTAGTCATCAGATTTAAACTCTCAACTTGTTTACATTTAACTTCTAAAAACCTTTGATTTATTCAAATAAGTAGTATGAGGCCGTTGAGCACCGAAGACAATGGAAGTTGGTCGCGCAATATCGTTGATTGGTTAAAGTCAGACATTAATACCGTTGACTGCCGTCTCAGTGGTCTAGAGTTTAAGTATTCACACGTAAGACCGAAAGTCCTGAGTTTGAGTCAAGCGTGCGGGACCGCGGAAGAGCACAGCTGAGGAGTTCAATACCAGGATGAAACGGCTGTTTAGTGTTTCCAAATTTTCAATTATGGTCTAACACTGATTGATTCATGATCTCAATTACAATTTTTCGAGAATTTCAAGAGAATTCTAATTTCGTTTTATAATTCTCATGAACACAATTGTAATTTGATATGACTTTCCAAAAAATATTTAATATAAACATTTACCATTGTCTTCAGTGAGTTAGTATCTCACAAAGGACTCGGTTGAACCCCACTGATCACTGCTTCTCACTAGAACTCCAGGAAATACGTCTTGAAGCCAGTCACTAGTGAGTATACGTTGATTAATATCAGAAGGTGTTTTTGTAGAGATGGTGGTTTATGGTGGTCTAGCTTCAATTGACTCATGAATTCAACTATTAAAATTACTATAATATCCACAAAAAACCTTTCTGATATTAATAAACATTTACTCTAAGTAACTTTAAAAAAACTGTCCGTAAATGGAATTAATTTTCCATTAACTACTACAAAACATTTTTATTAGAAATTCTATTTTTTGTGCTGCTTTAGATTCTTTCACTCTTATTCATTAATCTGTTTCATTATTAAATTAAATTATGATCAATTATATTTTACATTTTAAGCATATTATTCAAAAATGTCTATAATTTGTGATTACTTACTTGGTTACTAACACCTGTTACCCCTCGTGGAGGAGCATAGGCCGGACACTAGTATTCTCCATCCAACCCTATTCTGGGCAATGCTTTCAAGTTCTTTCCAGTTGTGATTAACTGAAACATAATATAAAATAAGAATTCTTCCACATGGTATAATAAAACCTGAATAGTTACAGTATTTCACTAAAAAATGTTTATTTAATGGACAGTTACCTTGGGAAATATTATGTAGTATTGTCTTTTACCGTATTGGAAAAAAGATAATAAATTCAAATGTCTTCCTTTGGAATTTTGTCCATTTCTAATTCACATGAAGCATCTTAGTAAAAAGGGAAATAATAACTAAGTGTTCACTAATGATAAACCTCAAATCTGATTTTCAGGTCACTATTTTGTAACATTTTAGTCAGATAATGTGTGAAATGGTATATCTTGGAGAAATTAAATATAGATTATAGTACACTATGGAAGAGTTTCAAATAAGAAAACAAACCACTGCATCTGAGCCCATTAGCTTAGAGGACAGTAATTGTCTATAGTTGTAAAATTCATACTTTTGACCTAATCTGGGATGATTGGCAGGGGTTTTGTAAGCTTATATCATGAAAGTTACTTTTAAGTCGTTATTAGATTAATCAACTAAAAGTCTGTCTATTTATTAAAAACTGTCTAAATTATATTCAATGCTTACAACAGAATAAAAATAATGTTTGTGTCTATGATTAGTTTACGTCAAGGACTGATACGATTTAAAATATTACTGAAAACCGGAAGGTACTGAATATTTGTTTTATTTTAGGATAGAACATCTTAGTAAAGCTTATCCATGTCATCTATAGAGATTGAACCCACGAATTTCGAGTCCCGTGGTAAATGCATTCAATCAAAAAACAATAAGTTAATGTCCAGTGGTTCACATTCACAACTTTAATCAATTCCCAATTTAGATCACCAATTATCAAATCATTTAGATAATGAGTAAATGTCTCATTTCCATGTTAATGAAACTCGAGTAGTTACTACTCCTTATAAGTAATTCTTAAAACCATTTCGAAGTTAGTGGTAAGCACAGATTAAGAGAATTGTATACAATAAAGTAATTGGTATAAAATTTCTGTCTCATATTTCAATCTTTCAATTTAAAAAAGAAGAAAGATTTTAAAAGACAGGACAGCGAATAATATGCATATCTTGCTAGATAACACAAACATCACCAGTAAATATGGTGAAAAAAAATCATTAAATAAAATTCATTTGAGTATTACAAATATTCTCTAAATATTAATTAAACAACTGAAATTATTTCTGGACGGCCGTTTCGTCTTGTTGTGGGGCTCCTCAGTAGTGCGTATCCACGATCCCGCCTCGTCCCACAATGGGACAAAATGGCCGTCCAGTTCCTCCAGGTTTTCCACGGTGGTCTAGCTTCAATTGACTGACTCATGATTTCAACTGTATAAAATTACTAAAATCTCCACAAAACCCCCTTCTGAAATTATTCCATTAAAATTATGACACAAATAAAACTTTATTGGTTAACACTGAACTTTCATAGAATGAATCTATTTTTGTGAATAAAGTCTTTATCATTTAAATTTTTCATCTTATTTAACAATTTGAAAACCTAAATTGTCAGACATCAAATCCAGTCCTGACTTCTGATTAGGAACTTGAAGGTTTCAAATCAAACCTTGTTAATTGATGCTATCAGTTTAAGGACAATAGGTATAACTACAGAAGCATTTTAACTAGAAAAATAAACACAAGGAGGCTTTTATTGAACTCTGTAATTATGAGAATTTGATTATCATGAAACCTGATCAAGGAACAAGAACTGTCCTACTTAACAAAAAAGACTACATTGACAAGATGAATGACATTTTGAATGATCAACAAACATTTGAAAAACTAAATAACCAGAATGATGTCAATAGTAAGGTAGAGAATGAACTGATCAGATCTTTGAAAAGGTTCAGAGATCAACAGATGATTCCATCAAACATATATAAAACAATTAAGCCGATAGATACCCATTTACCTAGGTTATACGACTACCGAATATACAAGAATCGGAAATCCTATTAAAATCAATTTAAAGTTCATATAATAGGAAATTTTTAAGCAAATAATTTATGAAACCATTGAATAATTGGATAGATTACGAATGAAAGATTCGTTTCTATTCGTTTCTATCAACTACAATGATCAACGGTTTAGTTTTAAATGTATTAACTGAAAAGGAATGATAAGCTAAGAAAAGTTGAAGAGAACTAATGAAGAAAAAAGGTGAAAATTATAAATGAATATGGTTGAAATAGACTATTCCACTAAACACTATTTACTACTTATAATCTAGAAGGATTTGTCATTTGTAAACTTTATGTCACTCTGAAATATTTGAATAAATTAGAAAGTGTAAATACTACTGAATTATTTACTATTGAAAAACCTGGAAACACTTCATTAGTAAAATGTTTACATCAGATATTGACATCTAGTCTTATAATAATACAAAAATTCAACATCTAAATATGATTGGTTTGATGTAGTATAGATTTTGATATGATTGTTAATAAAAAACGCCATATATTTCTTTCATGATTGTGATTTTGATTATTACCCTGAAGAAGTTCAGACAAGTTGGCTGGACGAAACGTTGGAATTATTTAAATTTTCATCTCTGAGATTCTTTGAAATATAATTTTCTCATATAATGACTTCTCTATACTCGACGCTCATTTATTGTCAAGCTATTCGTTCTGATCTTGACGAATATTCGTATAAAATATGAACTTTATATTTAAGTAGTAGAGATTTCAAATAAATCTTATAGTATAAGGAAGAATAAAATTTTTGACATGTTTTACAAAATGTACGTTAAAGTAATTGCTGATAAACTTGTGCCTGTTACTTTGTTTAATACAAATTCAAAGTCAAACCTGAGCACTCGATTTAAGTTCCTGGAGAAATTCACTTTTTCAGTTATATGTAAGTTAATTCAGTCATGTGATATTGCATATGGAATATATTAAAATCTCAAATGTAGTTGGAAACTGCTATGAGAAGTAGTCAGTTTTAAAGGTAGATATTTAGTTTGAAATGATTTCAGTCAGAGATCCTATAGAAGCAAAAATGAGTATTTGTGCATTTTATTCGGTAGTCCAAAACACTTCTAGCTCACTCTTATGTTCTCGATCAAATAGTCATTTGGGGGGGGGGTTAGCGCGTAGCATACCGTGTATCACTATCAGGTTGCGGACACCGTCCGCCACAATAGTGTTATTTTAACTATGAACTCTACATTATTAGGCAAACATACATAGGCAATTGTATTAGTATCATGCAAACGTTTTGAATTTTTCATCGGTAATCTTAAGGAGTATAATTGACCGGTTGTTGTTGTTATATATGTACTTTGAACCCAATCGTCTTAATATTACCAACAGACATAAGTTTTAGTGAATTTGAAATCTAGGAGAAGTGAGACATCAAATCTAGGATCCAGGTACGCACTACTGACAGGTCCTAAATCGAACAACATGCCATTCTTGAATACTCAATATGTTATATATTGCAACTATCGTATTCCCTAGTGTTGTGTTTTAACGGATTTGTTTCTAATATTTTTTTGGCTAAAAAGACACTAATTTGATTATTTTAATATAAGTTTCACAATCTGATTCTTGAATCCTATTTGTAGGATATCGTTAAGAGCCGTTTTTATTTCATTAATGAATTCTGACTTTAAACCATATTTCTAACATTCAATTATTATTTTAAAGTTTTATTAAGTTTGACATAAGCCTTTTTGAAAGAAATAACACTGATTGCTTAACTCAACCCATAGTATTGTTGCGGTAAATAGAATAAAAGTACAAATCTTGGCTACTGACAAGAAACTTCACTAGTAAATTACTATTTAAGGGAAATCAATTTCTGTTTTTATTTAAAAATATTTTTTTACAGAAAGAAAATAGGATAACTTGGCAAATAGTACTGAATTCTAGCCACGTTTTTAATTGATCAACATAAACCAGTTCATCAGTTCATAAAATGATGTCAAGCGTCAAGCAATTAACGATGAATAAACAGTACCTGATGGCCGGATACCATCAGTAACACCCTACTATGTGAGAGAACAAAGGAGCTTCCAGTTGAAGAGGTAATCATGAAAAAGCGTTGAAGGTGGATAGAACATGCATTGAAGAAATCATCATACTGCATTACGAAGCAAGTTCTAACTTGAAATCTTGGAGGGAAACAGAAGTGGGGAAGGCTGAATAACACACTACGTCGGGATCTGGAAACAAACACCAAAAGGATGAATGGTAACTAGAAGGAAGTGGAAAGGATTGCTCAGGACAAAGTTTGATGAACAATGCTGATCATTGGCCTATTCTTCACCACGAGGTTTAACTGACGTAGATACTTCGGAGAAAAAACAATTCTATTCCAAAGGAATAAGATCTTGAGGCAAGAACTGTAGCCACTGGTTTTGCAACCAACTTTTAAAATGTACAAAATCTTTTCAAATGTATTACATTTCACCTTAAATTACAAGTAACTTATTTGGTTAATATTTCATGTAAATTATATTCTACAAATTAAATTGATATAAATCAATAACAACCAGGAAACATCAATCATTTTGTTGCTTTTGTTCAAACATTTCTGTATATTTATGTGTATTTAGAAAAAAATTGTATTTGTCTACAATACACATTCCATTATTATTTCAATGAGGATAATTGTTAATTTGTTGCTTAAGAAATTCAGTATAAAATTATGTTTTGTATATCATTAAAAGTTCACATGTATGTGTATGAATCTATATTATATATATTATCAAAAGGGGTTTTTGTGGTTATTATAGTAATTTGAATAGTTGAGATCATGAATCAATTGAAGCCAAACCACTATAGAAAACCTGAAAGCATTGGACGGCCGTTTCGTCCTATTGTGAGACTCCTCAGCAGTGCGCATCCACAATTGTGGATGAAACGGCCGTCCTGTGTCTCCAGGTTTTCTACGGTGACCTACCTTCAACTGAATCATGATCTCAACTATTGAAATTATATATATTAGTTGAGTAAATTGATCCGATTTACATGTAACTGCTTACAAATTGAATTTATCCACTGTGTTTTTATGTAAGGCATAAATATCATAAGTTGATTATAAAATGTCCTCAGACAAGGTATTATGACTTGAATAAAACAACATTCTGAATAATTCTACTGTTTATTTTAATTTATGATAAAGATTATTTTTAAAAGGATTGAACGATACATCACTAATGTTTTAAGGCAAACTCTTACCATCAAAAATACTTAGTTGAAATTCAATGATTCATAAGTTGGTATTTAAGTAGTTGAACATTGATCATTCAATGACATTGATGATCACAATGTTATTGGTTAAACTTTATAATTTTATAAATAAACGAAGAAAAACACCAGTTAATTTCAGTGAATACTACTAGTCAGTAGTGTATTACATTTTCCAATAACATCTTTGAGAAAACTACAGAAAAATGTTACTTGTTAAAAGGAATCATTAGATTCGTACAACAAGAAAAAGGAAAACTAGACTGATCCTACAAGATTTTATTCAACCTCCAGAAAATATGATGACAATTGAAGATTCATTATGAAATAATTACACAAAACCTTCCTATAAATTTCATTTGCAACCAAATTAAAGTCAAATAAAAGAACCTTATACAAGACTATTTGATGCACTTCAAAGACAATATGCTAAGGTATCTGCCGATGCTTTATAGAAGTCATGAAATTGAAAGCGGTACTAACAATCGCTAAAACCTGTCACATACAATCCATATAAGTAATAGTTGTTATATCTATTTCAATGCTACCAATTTAGAGATTATTTCACTTGAACTTTATCTGGAATATTAAAGTAGACAAGATATTTACACCATAAAATCTACTGACATTATATTGTAGACTTTTAGAATATAATACACAAGTTATTTTTAATGATAGACATTAAACGTTGTATCAGTTCCTTAGTCATTCAATATCCAAAGGGTATCGTTTCTTTTCTTCACTTATTTATTAATATAATAGTTATACATTTCTGAACACTATCTGCACTAATGTAAATTGAACTAACTTCCTGAAATTGATAATTTTATTTGATATTATAAACTTTTTCAAGGTTGATCCTTTTTTTACTCCTAAGTATAGATGAATTTTTATTCAACAGACTTTTAGTTTGATCATAAAAATAGTGTCATATACATCAATATTTATGTCCTGAATGTTTATATGTAGAGTTTTATTAAAGACAATAATCTATACTTCACAATATTTGCTTACTGATATACGTTTCTGTTATAACTTGTGACCGAGTGAATGCCATGTTAACGAATGACGTGATAAGACCGCCAATCAGGGGGCAGCGATTTATCGACCCGACCAATGATACACGAAAATTGTACGAGTATTCTATAGTAATTGTCGGTCCTGCTTCTGCCTAGTTCAGCCAGTTAAGTTCAGAACAGCCTCTACGGTATGAACCATTATATTTCAAACATACTGATTTGATACACCAATCAAACTGACCACATCATACCATATAATAGAAAATAACATTTGTACAAGATTCAGTCAAAGGTGGTTGTGAATAGGGAGATAGTAAATAATAGACAGGGCATAATTCAGGAATGGTAAATCATATAACAATAGTTTATGGTTCAAAATAAAGCTTATAATAAGGAGGACATGAATATGAATAGTTTAGTTATTAGGCAATCATACGATAAAAAATATATGCATAATATTAAATTCATTTGGTATTGTTTGTTTGAATCTTCCCATCGATTTGTTAGGACTGCAACTGGTCAGTCTCTAATTGGCATATGTGCATACTGTGCGTATTGCCTCGATATACCTTAATTCACAAGCATGGTTAGTAGAGATGGATAGTGGCTAGCAGTGGAATCCAGTTTGACGCGCGTTTCATCCTATCTGGGACTCGTCAGCCGTATGTACCTGCATCTGAGAGTTGATGTTTACTCTGGGACTCGAACACAGTACCGTCGCTTCAAACGCCATCGCGTTATCCACTCGGCCACTGATTCCTGATAGCCACTTGCTTGTGCGATGGGGTGAAGTTTAAATTCACTTGGTATTGTTTGTTCGAATCACCTCATCTCTGCTAAATATGCATAATGTTAGTTCATAAATGGTTCTCAAAAGTTACTATTCATAATTCTATTCAGGATACAACAGTCTGTATGAAAGATAAATTTCTGTATGTATATATTCATTTCAAATATTTCTTTAAACTTTTATTTGTAGACCATTTGTTAAAGTCTTTTCTAAGCCTTACATGAAAGTAAACCTTTGTATTTCTTTCTAATTATCAATTTAGACTGGTTATATATTCCCTTTTCATAAAGTCATGTACAATCAAGTCAGAAACTAAATTTACATAAAGATAATTATCTGAATCTTTATTTACAAAATAATTACTGATTCATAAAATAATCTAACAACATTTTTGTTCATTTTCGGCGTCGACAATTAATCAAAGATGAAAACGAAAATAAACTATAATTAGAAAAAAACATGCAACTAGGAATTAATTGTATTGAGACAGAAATCTCGACACAAATTAAGATGATTCTTAAAACTTTACATGACTATCATGATTAAAGATCAGGGAAACTGATAGACATTTGTCTTTCATGGTAATGGGGAAATCAGTTTAATGGAGAACATCAATCTCAATCTTAATGCGGTGAAATATTCTTAGTAGAATTTAAGTTTCTCCTATTTTGGATTTTTGTTGTTTAAGATGTTTAAAGTTGACGTTATTATTATTATTAGCTTTATTCAATATTGTATTTTCGGTACAATATAAAACTCTCTACGCGACCTATTTCAATAAGTTTCCGTTTCTTATCTCTTGATCCATCCTGACGGTAAATATTGAATGATCACCAGTTAGATGTTAGCAGTTTAGGAAAAGACATCTGAATAGTGTACATTCTTTTCCATGTAAATTGCGAGCAACCATAACGTCTTTGATTGTGTCATTTCCTAAGTTGTACAATGAAATGTTTCGAACTTCTCACAAATGCACCTCGATAGGTTATGCAATTAATTGGCATAATGATCTATTGAAACAAACAAAAGACTGATAACTTGCTAAAATATCTAGATGACAGGAACAGACAGCCTAAATATTCAAGCAGGCCGCCTATATGTTCATATTAAGTGAATTTTGTTTGTCGAAAAAGGATCAGCGATTTACTAAGACATTTGCACTATCTTATCGTAACCTCATATATTGATGTTTAACCATTTTTTATTTTGACTTAATTGTTTTTATATTATTTGCGTGTAAATTTATATTTCATATAACTATTATATAAGAATTAGTCAACCAAAATAGAGAAACAGAAATCAAAACTTTTGAAGTTGAAAATTGTTTATTTTAAATAATATGATCGAGGCATTTAATATTGATAGTTTTTGCATCTGGCGAGATTATAATTTATGGACGACCTTTTGGCCGACGCTAAAATGACCTTGAAAATGTCCGTCTACTAACTAGAACTAAATGATGGTTATAAACCAGTGTGAGGAATAAAAATTACGATTTGCAGTTGATGGTTAGGGTTAGGAATTAGATTTAAGGTTTTCATCACGAAATGACATCAGCTATTATGCCAAAATAGTATCTAACCAAATGAGCGGATGAATTTCGCGCTAAAATCCAAGACTTTTAAACTTAAATCTGATTGGTTCGTCCATAAATTATAATCTCGCATCTCATCCTAGAATAATTAAAATAAGTGTGTTACTTGAGTTTTTTTTGGAAGTAACATGTCAAACAAATCGTTATATTGAGTAAAAAGTGAACTGGTTAAGTAATAATGTCAATATAGATAATGATTTCTATCCATAAATTTTACATATTGAGTTGAAATTCCATCTAGCTACCTCAGCAAGGAACTCGTGAATAATAATTTTGTAGATCATTGTGAATTCGTAATAAAAATATTCATATTTATGAGAAAAACTCATGGATAAATTTTTTGTGAGAATCTATTCACACTCTAACAAATAAGATTATGCACCATTCTTTCTAAAATATTAAGTTCAAAAGCTGATAATAAGCCTTAATAGACTAAAAATCTTTGTAAAAGTATTAGTTTTAAAGATTTTGTTACTTCCCTAGAGAAATAATTTTGATTTATACGAACTCTTCGACTATTTGCTGAAATGTAGCATCAAAATTTGTAAGTGCGAATTTGTTTTAACGTCAACATTGGTTTCCCCTATTTTATATTGTTAGAAAATGCGTGGTATCAAATAACACCTCTGGCTGTTATGATATCTGAAAGACTGAATATCTCCAACCATACAAAATCTTGAAAAAAGAAACCATTTGAACCTATCCTTGAAAAACACGTTCGTGTTCATGATTGGGATAGGATAAGTGCCGAATATATCAGTCATTAGATGATTTTAGAGAATAATTAGAAGACATTGATATTCTACAAAAGTTTTACTTTGCAAAGAGTGTGTTTGTATATAGATATACATCACATCTAAACGTGATGGAATACAAGATAATGTGGTAGAAAATCATTCGTACCTAACAGTTAACTTAGATTAAGTTAACACCACTAATAATATCTTCTCATTGATTCAATTAAGACAGTTGAATTGTTTCGACTATCTTATTTCTCGCCAAGTATTCCATCTGATGCTTCATCCAATCAACACATTTTCCTAAGAAATTAATTAAAAACCTACAAACAGAGGTAAAATGTAACACATCTCTTCAATCACCCTGTTATCCAACAATTTATG